GATTTGGTAAATGCACATAACACATATTATTTCCTTTTTCATCTCCTTTCTCTCACTCCCTCCTTCTCTTGATCTCCTTCTCATTTGAGAACTAATTTCCTACTTCTTATTGTCTCTCTACTTTGCTCTTTAATTTATTTATACTTTGGATTTCTCATATAAGAGGAACCATGTGATACTTAAGCTTGTGTGTCTGATTTGTTTCACTTAACATTACGGTCTCAAAGTGCATCTATTTTCCTACAAATGCCTCAAGTTTATCTTTCTCTATGGCAGAGTGGTACTCCATTGTATATAAATACCACATTTTCTTTATCCATTTATCGGTTGATGGACATATAGACTGGTTCCAAAATTTAGCTGTTATGAATTACACTGCTCTTTAGGTTTGGTGTGTAGATCCTTTCTTACTTTTGTGGGCTGTGTTTTAATGATGGTCAGCATCCTAAGCTCAATGAAACAGTCAATTCTTAGAGATTTCTGTGACCGTCAAGCTAATTCATACTCCTTTCATAGTCCTAGAGCCTGACAGATGAAATGACTGATTTCAAGGCTGAGGTTGGGATTATACAATCTGGAAGATCTAATAGTGACAGAAAACAGACTCACACACACACACACACACACACACACACACACACAGTGACAGAGGTATGGCAAGGGTATATAGGAGCCCACTGAAGCCTGAAACTAGCACAAATGATCATTTAAATATGTGAGTCAGGAAATTCCATATTTCCTTTTCATCCAATTTAGGTTGATTTCCTGTGATTTCTAAAGGACTCTTCACTAATCCGAAACCTGTCTCTGGTAGTGAAGGCCAGACCCAGAAACACAGAATTTATAGACATGGGATACTGTGCTGGTTAGTGAGGATCCCCCTGCCCTCCAGTGAGCATTAGTAATACTTTCATACCAAAGCAGCTATAAACACAGTGTGTACATATGCCCCTAACAGTTGCCCTGTGACAAGATGTGAAGATATTGATCACCACCAACAGGGGTCTTTTCTTTATGGCTCGGATTTTGCAGTCAAATTTGCTCTCTGAATCCAAGTTGGCATTGGAGCAGCTGTCTCCTGAGCTTCAGATTTGGCTGCTTTGTGTCCTACCCTCGGATCCAAATGAGCCTTTTAGTGAGATCTAGTCGGTCTAACCTGAAAGTTTCTATACTCACCTTGTTCTCAGGGACTGTTATGTTTTGTATCTAGATGTCCCTTCAAAGCTTCATGGGTTCATAGGTGGGGTTTGGGGGAAATGCTTGGATCACGGGTGCATGTTACTTATTAGTGGATTACTCCACGAATGGGTTTGTAGCTAAATGAGATGTTGAGAGGCGAAGCCACTTTGGAGGAGGTGCGTCTCTGGGGGCTTGGCCACAAGAGTTTTACCTTCCTTCTTCCTCCCTTGGTCTGTTTCTTGCTACCATGCCATGAGCTGTTTCTCTTCTGCTTGCCTTTCTGCCCTGTTGCTCTGTCTTAGAGCCAGCCTACTATGGACTGAAGCTTCCACAAAATGTAAGCCAAAACAGCCTTCCCTCCTTTATTTTGTGGCTATAGGATATTGTATCCCAGTGACAACAAAAATAACTAAGACAGAGATGGAGTGCAGAATTGGGGCCCTCCTTATGTAGCCCTGGGGCATATGGATTGCATGTGTTTTCAGTAAAATCATGACCTTAGATTGTGTTCCAGAGAAAATTAATACCCTACTTGTCATTGTTCCAATCTGCTTACTTGACCCAACAACAAGTACACCACTCTAGAAAATCCCTGGGAAGAGAGGCACATACAGGGAACACTATGTTGACAGGTGGTATGAATGAGAGCAAATTAATTCTGGATCTGTGTGTTTTATTCTATAAATACTTGTCTTTGTCCATTTGCTGAAGCAGGCCTGGACAACAAGGAAATGCAAGATGTAGCCAGTTGCAAAAAATTGATTTATAAAACCAACTGTACAAATAGGAAGTGACAACCAATGGGTACTGCTTTTTAAAAATAAAAATAGAACAAATATATTGTAAAACTGGTTAGTGGTGATTGGTGTACAGTACACTTCACTTGGGTGATTGAATTTTGCGTAGACTGTGTCTCTAAAAATAAATCAGAGTAGGCCAGATTTGGGCCAGAATCCAGTTTGTCAATTGTTAGTGAAGATCCTTGTCTTTTTTCCTTTTGTTTAAGGCACATGTCCCAAAAGGAGTTGAGGGCATATAATATCAACAAATTCATACCCCATTCCAAGCATCCCAGTAAAATTCTCTACCTCAGGAAACTAGAGCCTTAGAGACTTATGGTGGCAGTTTAATGAATTTTCATGCCATTTCTTTTCTACTTGAGAATAACTCTTTGTAACTCAGCCTGTAACTCAATGTTACTCAAATTTTTGTGCCATTTAGGGGGAACAGAGTGTTTTGCCTTAACAGTTTTGAGATGAACAAGGACCCCATCTTTTAAATTATGGAAAGAGCCTCAGAGTCAACACATCCCTGAGCAAAGATGCTCAAGGTATGGCTCTACTGAGTCTTCCCTAGGAAAGGAAAGAATTCTGGAGTTTGCTTCATAAAAAGATGAAGGCAACCTGTGCACCTCCAGAAGTGTGGCACCCCAGGTGCTGAAGTGACCCCCTCAGCTCAGGGAGGACGTTTGCTAACAGCAGCTGTGACTGAGTCACACCTGAGTGGGCTGACTGTGTGCTGTTGCTCTCAGGGAGAACACACTTTCACATCAGCCACACTGCAGAATTAATGAGAGGTGGGGACTCCATGGCCCACGCATCCATCACAGCCAGTGGCGGCCTCCTCTGTGATGCCAACAGGATGCTTTATGATGATGGCTTTTACTGGGATCCAGAGCTGTCATCTCCCCTACTTGCCCTTCTCTGCTAGGAGTTACTGAGCCGTGGGTGAGGAAACCTTGGGGAGTCTTAAGAAAAGCCCCATTTCATGAAGGCACAGGAATTTTTTCTTTTGTGCTCAAAACCACAAACCTAGCACCTGGCACCTAAGAGGTAGCCACACATTGTGGAATGAACCAGTGAGTGAATGCCTAATGCCAGGAGGATAAAGACACCAGGCACATACCCAAATTGGGGAACTCACCACTAGAGGTAAAGCCAGTTTCTGCCAGTTACTCTGAGGGTGCAGCAGAGTGAGAGTGGATAGTTGCACAGGAAACTTCTGCCAGCTACTGTGGATCCCTTTACATAGCCAGGTGCTACTCCTCGGACTTTACTACTTCAGCTCCTCTCATCGAGCTGCCTGCTTTTCCTTCAGTGAGATCAGTGTACCATTTCCCCTAGCTGCTTTGTGCCACACTCCACACTAAATGCTCTCTGTGCTTGGGTGAGCATGGAGTGTAAAATGCTAGCTCTGTGGATATCTGCTCTTCTGGTTTGTTTCCTTCTCACACTCCTGCTGCTTCTTTACGCTTGGCTTTTCCTCATCTCTCTCACGGCCAAGGTTTGGTAATGTGTGGCCAGAAAGGGAACATGGGCCCAGGTGTCTTCAGATGTCTCTCCTCTGTCTGTCTCGTAGCCTCTCCTGCACCTCTGACGACCAACTGAGCTGTGTTTTGGCCCTTCCCACCAGAGCGTGGACATCAAAGGGCACAGGAACAGAGACGAGGGTGGAAACGACGCAGAAAGTTTAAATTATTCTGCACAGTAAAGATTGGGAAGAGACAAAATTAGAGGAGAAAGAGAATGTAGAGCTGTACAGGCAGAAGGAGAGACAGGAAGGGAGATGGAGAAGTGCTCTGTAGCCTGAGGATGCAGAAGTTGGAGAAAGAGGAAAGGCTACAGAAAGCCTCACTTTGAATCTCACCTTAAAGGACAAGGTTGATACTTAGACTATTTTCAGGGTTCATTCCATCTCACTCCTAGGCTTGTGTATCTCCCACTGCTCCCACCTCATGGGTTCCTCATTCTTCCTGTCAACTTTACCTCTAGGTTCTCAGTATACAGTTTCTGGCTCAATTCATATTAAGTTTCTCAGAGTGAGTATCTGGCTTGCTCTGCCCATTCCACTGGTGTCTTACTTTCTTGTTCATGAGACAGAAATACCCAGCACCCACATGTTAAAGGAAGAAAGGTTCATTTGGGCTCAGTTTACACAGGTTCCAGTCCACAGTCAGTTGGCTCCAAGGCAGTGTGGCATGGCAGACAGGCATCACAGAGGAGAAAAAGTCCATGGAAGAGCAGTCAGGAGGCTGCAAGCAATAAGCAACAGCAGCCTGCCTTTCATCTTTCCTTTTATATTCCACCAGGCTACAAGCCTACTGATTGGTGCCACCCACACCCAGGATGGACCTTCCATTATCCACACCCAGAGCTATACTAAACCAATTTAGTTATCACATATCCTTAATCCCAGTATCACACACCCTAGGTCCAGCCGCCTCCAAAAAGTCCCACCTATGACTACACGAGGCTTTGGGGGGACATCTAGATACAAGCCGCAACACTTGGGGACAGAGCTTTTAAGAATTTGAGCCATCTCACAAGTCTTATTGACTTGTGGTTGGCTTCCGGGAGGTCAGTGTAAATTCTCTTAATTGGCTATGGCCTGAACAGATTTGTTCAACATGGCACAGGTGACCTTGCGTTGCACCTCTTTGGGAATAAAAAGCAGAGGCATCACGTCTGGAAGTCTCTGTAGCCTCTGTAGGGTATTAAAAGGTATCTTAAACTTCCACCAATCCCATTGCCTGCTCTTCAACAATGTCTTTTCACTGATGTAAAAAGAGAGGTTTTGGAGTGGAACACAATGGGTACCTCTCAAAAACAGCTAGGCAGAGGGGGCTGAAAAGCCAAGCTCTCTGTAGGAGCTCGACACACACACACTTATTTCTCAGATTAACCACAAAGAGATGTGATATGTAGCTTGTTGTGTTGATTACCCTTGAGTTTGAGAGCTCCTGCATGGAATATTGGGATAGACAGAATCCCCTATCCAATGTGACCCAAGAAGGTTATGTCAGAAAACACGCTTCAGACCAGTGAATTTAGAAAGTTTTTTTTATTGGTTGAAACATTTTAGGAGGTGTTCAAATCTTTTTCAATTCAAGTAGACATAAGTAAATCACGTGACTGTTGGCAAGACCCACTCCTCCCTAGTTTCTCACATCAACATCCACACCCACTGGGACAGATCCATATCCCTTGTGGGTCTACCCAGCTGCCTATTGATTAAGTACACCAGGATGTTACGAGAGATCTTGTGAGGTTTTATCTCTTTGTTTGGTTCTTCCTCCATGTCTACATCTGATGTGCTAGGACTGATGGGTTTTAACTCTTCATTTGCCACCTCTTCCATATCTACATCTGATATGCTAGGCTTGATGGGTGTTAACTCTTCATTTGTCTCTTCCTCCATAGTTACATCTAATATGCAGGGACTGGCCTTGGACTTATCTTCATCCATAACTGATGACTGGTACACTCCACTTATGGCCTCAGGAAGACAGCAACACTGAGAGAGTCTGAAATGGATAAGGAAACCCAGATAATCAGATGGAACCAGAGGCCTCTTCTTCACTGCCACCTCCGTACCACACACACACACACACACACACACACACACACAGAGGCAGCAGTAGTTATAGGATGTGCTTTGGGGCATGGTCAATGTTTTCATTTCTTCTATTGTGCCCCAATAAATGGTTCTGTGTATAAAACCTGTCTTCTGTTTCAATGACACCATTTCAATCCCTGTTTCAATAACTAAATGTGTGGGTTTTCACCATTTTTTCTTACTGATAGACTCATAGAAGGACCCTGTGTGTCTCATGGTGACTGCTTGCTCTCCTGGCTATGTTCCCCTTTATTCCCAGTTAGGACAAGGCAGAGACTTCTCTGAATGGCTCCCTGTACCTGTCAAAATCAGAGTTCAGGAAAAACTGCTACATGCTTCTTACAAACGAAGGGACTGAGTGCCAGAAACTAAGTGCTAACTGGCCTGTTTAAGATGCATAAGAGCAAATGTCGAGGGCTACCACAGGGGTATGACAACAGAGCAGGAAGCCAGAGATGCAGGATCTGTTTTGAGTCCCAAGAACTAGACAACAACAAAAGAAGATGAAGTCTGTCATAGCTTAAGACATCCCCCCACACACGCATCTGTACTGCCACAACTTCCCAGGGCTCAACCCCAAAAGTCTGGGGCAGTAATTTGTATGAATCTGACACGGTGCCAAGGCCAGGGGCAGGTACTCATTGTGTTCTCAATGTTTGTGTCCCAGGACTGATAGTAACTTGCCCAAGGCTCACAGAGCTGGGATTGGAAGTGAGAGAGCCTGTATCTACAGCCTAACATCAAGTATCTCTCTACCAATTTGAACAAATACCTGACTCTACCCTGCCCCCAGTACCTAGCAGGGTTTGGGTTCATCAAATGGGTGAGATGGATGGTGATCCCAATAGATACAGCATTATATTAGGCTTTTTTACCTCTTAGACTATTGTGCTTTCTCCAGAAGAGATGATAAGGAGGCAGCTTCAGTGTGCCTCTCTGTGTCTCATTCTGGTTCTCTGAGATTCATCCTGATTGGTTGAGCCCCAAGGGTGTCACAATGATGTTACAATTATCCTTGAAACCAGTCTCTGATAGGCTCCTAACACTGGCCACTCCACCCCCATTTCTCCTAATTCAGGATTGAATAAAATGAGTGGAAAGTTCCATGAGAGTAAACAGACCATGCCAGGCACGGTGACACATGCCTGTAATCTCAACACTTGGGAGACTGAGGCAGGAGGATTGTTTCAAGTTTGAGACCAGCCTGGGCTACAAAGTGAGCTCAAGGCCAGCCTGAACTGCATAGTGAGACCCTGTCTCAAAAAGACAAAAGAAAAAAAAAAAGAGAGTAAATAGATCTTACCCTGGCATGAAACTGTCTTATATCTCTTCCCTGGATAGGAAGATCAGTTATCTTACCTTTCAGGTTTTCCGTGGCGTGTGAAAAAAAATCTCCCCATTGTATCTTCTATGTGAGGAGTTTATAGCATCCATCTCATCTCTGCAGGTCCCCTGATCAATTCTCAGCAGTTTTTTTCCTCCAGTTCCAATAAGGATCTTAGTCCTAGGTAAAGTGCCATCCTTATGTCTCAATCTGAGGATCCAGCCTTGGCCATGACGCTGTAGTTTCTAATTTCATTGTACACAGTTCACATAAACTGTGTGTTTAATTGCAGAAATGTTGGCTATTGTACATCTAAAGCCATAGTACTTTTGGAGCCTTTGACCTATAACAGCTATATAGTTAAGATTAAAGTGTGGCCCAGGTGCGTGTTGTCCAGAGGTAGAATACGGATTCTTGCAGGCTATCGCAGGGCCGAAAGGGAGGACTGGGCTCTGCATTGTTTTGCTTTTGCAATCCTGAGAAATCTATCTCAGGGCTTCATACATGTTGGGCAAGTGCTGTATCCCTGAGCCCTACACCAGACTTTTGCCTTTTGATAGGGCTGTGCTCTTGAGGAAATGAAATAACTATTATGGGATGTCTTAGTTGCTTTTCTTGTTGCAGAGACAGAGACAAAGTACACAACACCCAAAGTTAAACGAATAAAGATTGATTTGGCTTATAGTTCATAGAGGTTTCAGTTCATAGTCGCCTAGCTCCAAAGGCAGGATGGCATGGCAGAGGCACATCACAGAGGAGAAATAGTTCCTGGCAGGCAGAAGACAGAAGAAAGCGAGGAAGAAGTGGTGATAGCAGCTTTTTTCTGTACATTTGCATTCTATCTAGGCTACTCAGAACTATGCTAGGACAGCCAGAACTGTGCTAAACCAATAAGTGGATTAATTTAGTAATCACACATCATTAATCCCAGTACCTATGACCGCATGAGGCTTTGGGGGGACATCTAGATACAAACCATAACATGGGGATACACAGCTCTTCCCCACACTGGCCACTCCACTTAGTCTCATGTAATAACTGAAGAAATTGAGAAACTGATGCTTGTAAATATGACCTGGATCATGCACTTCCTTTTATGAATCCAAGGAAGGCTCAGTCTTCTGTGTTTTCTTCTATCCTATATAGAACTTTCAAGGACACTCTGACACCTGTGTTCTGTACCCGAAACAAATTGGAGAGGGATGATGACTCATTAGTATTAGTGTCATTGGTAGTTCATTAACAACTGTAAGTAGAAAATTGCCTTTCTCTTCTGGAAGGATTGCCTTACTTCAAAAACCAAGGCAATTCTTGGGATGTGGGCCAGAAGAGCTACTTAATATAAGTAAAGTGCGTTAAATAGTGTGTACCCTTCCAATAACTATGGACTATAATAGAAATAAAATATTCTATTGACATTGGTCATAAACATTATAAAATATCTATCCACATGATTTTACAATGTGGGGAAAATGCACATGAAACATTCAATGAGCATCCTGTTGAACACTCAAACACTATTGTAAAGCACCATTATTTTCCAGAAAGTAAGACTAAATTTGAGATGGTGTCTTTGTCTCTAAATAAATCTGTGAATTCAGTGCAATTCCAATCATGAGTCGGAACAGAAGTTTGGGTGTGTGTAGACTCAGAGGAATTTATTATAAAACTAGGTTGAAGAGGAAATGTGCAAGATTGTCCAAGAGGTAACCTTGTCATACTGGGAAACAGAATTGCTCTATGGGATGCACAGTTGAAACAGGAATTGATAAACATGTCACTGAATACATATAGAGATCTTAGAAATATACTCATATATATGTGGGGATCAAATGGCTTACATTTTGATCATGGGGCCACCTAAAAGCAGACTATTATGACTGCATGTGCTTGAAATGAAAAGGGGCTTCTAGGCCCACTTGTTGTTAGTTTTTTATTATTAATGCATGGTTACAATACATAATTATTATGTTCTCCTTGGAGAAATTGGTATATATATGTAACATATCTAGATTTTTTTGATCCTTTTTTTCTTCCACCTTCCCTCTCTCCATTTTTATCCTTTTTCCCCATCTCTGAAAAGTTTGACCTTTTGTTTCTTACCATTTTTCCTTAATTTTATTTATTTATATTTTGGATCTCTCACATAAGAAAAACAGTACCACATTTAACTTTCTGTGTTTCTCTTATTTGATTTAACATAGTCTTAAATTCCATACATTTTCAAGGATGACATGATTGCATCTTTTTTCATAGCTGAATAATATTCCATTGTGAATATATACCACATTATCTTTAATCATTCAACTGTTGATGGGCATCTAGGTTGTTTCCAGTGCTACAAGTAATTCTAGATCCCAGCAAGTGTGGCAGGCATTCTCTGTTGTGTTTCCTTCCTGCAGCCATCTGTAGAGCCAGCAATCATGGACAAAGGCCACTCTGAACTCACTTCCAGCACATGCCCACCAAGACTCAGGAAGAAAGAGGATGAATATTTGAAAATCAGCTTGACCTGCAACACTGTGCTAAGCATTTTCCTTGGGGAAAAACTGGAAAAGCACAGGTGTGATGTGCACCTGGCAGAGCAGCTGTGGATACTGACTCTGAAGTAACACCAGGGTACAGATGGCCTTTACAGAAACACCCTTGGACTCATTCACCTGTGTTCACTGAGGATGATGAGAAATCCAGGAAAATTATGTGAATCAATAAAACCTTTCTGCAACAGAACTTTAAAACAGAATCTATGCTTTCTTTCTTTTCATTTTTTTTTTTTTTTAGTTTAAATTGGCTTTTGTTCGTGTGGGCAGTGATGGTGGCAGTGGAGGCAGGGCCTCCCTCCAGTTCTCTGGAAGCAGCCAGCAGCCAGCAGCCAGCCTGCAGTAACAGCAGCAGAGGCAGAGACTCCAGCGCCCTCAGCCCAAGCCAGGGGAGGCCTGGCAGTCACGTTGGCAGGTGGGACTCCACTGCCTGAGAATGAGAATTCTCTTCACCAGGGGATGGAGACTGTTCAGTCACCAGCAACACAAAGTTGTCATTGTTGGGTTAGACAATGCAGGGGAAACTAGTATCTTTTACTAAGTTTCTATGAATGAAATTGTACATACATCCCCTACAATAGGAAGTAATATAGAAGAGATAATGATTAATGATACATGTTTCCTGAGGTGGGATATTGGTGGCCAAGAATCTCTTCACTTTTCCTGGAACATTTACTGTACTAACACAGAGTTTATAATAGTTGTTGTAGACAACCAACAGAGAGAGGATTTCTATAACGAGAACTCTATACAATGTTACCTCATGAGGACCTAAGAAAAACTAGATTGCTGATTTTTGCTGATAAGCAAGATGTTACAGAATGCATGAATGTAGCAGGAATCTCCCCATTCTTGAAGCTCACTTCTCTAAAGATCACCAGTGGCACATTAAAGAATAAAAGGAGAGATGGTAGGAAACAGGGAGATAGACTTCTTGAAGATGGGGAAAGGAAATAAGGGAAGGGGAGAGGAGAGAGGACAGAAGGGGTGGGAAGCACATGGAAAATAGCCAAAAAATTATCTATCATCTATCAACTATCTGTCTATCATGTATCTATCTATCTACCTACCTATCTATCATCTATCATCTATCTAGTAATATCATATATATTATATGTTATCATTTCCCCAAAGTGAATGTAATCATTATATATTGCAAAGATGTACCTATTAAATAAAAATTGAAGCTCTTTTCTATTATGAATAAAAAGAATTATCTTAAATTAAAATAAGCAAAAAACCCCAGAATAAAGAAGTCAGTGTTAGAATCTTAGTGCCATTTTCTGTCTTTTAAATAGATAATAGTCCATTTCCAAACCATTCTCAGTAAACTGGAATTTATTTTCTGGTCTATGTCCTAGTATGTTTTAACTATTTTGTCAGTTGGAGTTTTTACCTGGAAAATGACTCAGGAATTCCCTCCAGAGAATTTTCAGATTGGTGCTCAGCTGCTTAAGGAACTTTTGCAGTATAGATTTCAACATCTTTCTCCTAGCAAAAGAGAGTAAGACTTTTGTGGTGTTTCTGCTTGGAGAGGTACCATGCTCAGTGGTTGGGCCCAGGTGTCTCTCTGGCATGTCACAGAGAACTTGGCTGCAGGGGTCAGCAATTCCACTGTTGCCCTTTAGTCTAGAGAATCCCAAGCTGAGAAGTCTCATATTGTGCCTGGGAGACCAAAGCACCTCTTTTCCTGGTCTTCAATGGAAGCTGGAACTTCATTCCTATCATTCTGTCTAGGAATAAATTGGCCATTAGGCTGTGAGCTATGGGCACCCACTATGCATGGTCACCCAAATATGGAACTAGACAGAAACACTTGAGATTTGTGGGGAGGTATGTGGTGCTTCTCACAGGTCTTTCCAATCTAGGATTAGCAAGCATGAATGAACCAATGGGCAACGTATGTGTTTTCACAAGAACAAGGGATCTCGGAACTGGGAAATCTGCAGGGATACAGAGAATTGCTTCCATGTAGGGCAGGCTTATAAATGGGCAGGATGTATGTTCTTCCCTCAGACTCATTACCCTGCAGGAAATGTGAAGACGAGAGGGGACTTACTTCAGACCCTGGACACTTTGGCACTCAGAGATGATG